CCGTGAGAATATAAAATACAAATAATATAAGTATCAGATGACTTTTTTCAAAATCGGTTATAGTTTGACTATGTACTAGTCAGCACCATAGACTTAGGATATACGCATAGACCAACATAGTGTGCAAGGGAGAAGAAAATTCCTTATGGCAAAAATGCAAGATAGAAAAGGATACCAAATCTCATGACTCTATAACCGACTTTGAATGACAGGTCGGCGAAAGTCGGCACGCAAGAAATAAGCTTGTAGATATTTTGTGTGTTTTTAGATTATAATAGTGTTAATTTGTATAATTTGTAGTTTTCTAAAATGGTTTCATGTTCCGTTAGTGACTGTGGTATCAACAATAGAAATAAACCTGATGATTGCACATTTCACAGGTAAATTCGCAAGACAACGTCAATAATAAGACACGTCTATTTTGCTTAAAATTTATATTATATACTGTTTAAAATAAGTAAAATTTTCAATTATTTTATTAGTTTTGATATTTTGCAAAGAAAAAAGTCACATTATTGATTATTTGTATGATTTTGGTGAATTAATTTTTAAACAAAATATTTTACATTTACGCTAGGGATTGATTCAACTATATCAAAATTAATGTCGATATTTATCATTAATGTGTATAAAGAATCGATAGACTTTTATACACAACAAAAAGAAGAATATAATTAAATATTCGATTTGCGTTCTAAAAACATAATTTTATTTTGCCGTTTGTCAAACAGATTCCCTCTGGATCCTTTAGTTAGAAAAAAATGGTTGGCATTAATTGGGCGGGTTGGTTTGAATCCTAAGAAGAACTCTACAATTTTTTAGTAAACATTTTATTGAGAAATATATAAGAAAAAGCAGAGTAAATACAACTTTATTACAAGGAGCCATTCCTACTTTATTTGTACCAGTAAGTATATTATTGTTGTAATAAGACATCTTTTTTTTTATAGGATGGGGTGACAGACGAGCATGCAGTCCACCTGATGATAAGTGGTTTCTGTGGCCCATAGACATCTTCATCTATCCTCGTTTGCGAATCAAAATGCAGATGTGTTATCAGCCGTGAGGACTAAGATGAAATGCCTCTTTTCCAGTAAAATGGGTCTCCGGTTCTCTACACTTACCATACGAAACACAGCAGTGTTAAACTGCTATTTTACGCTGGTATAAAAATTTAACTTAAAAAACTTAAGGTAAAAATAGAGATAGGTTTTTATACATTATAAAACTCTATCTCTATTATTATATATTTTCCCCAAGGGGTTGTGTGGAGCTTTGGAATTTATTCCTAAGTTACAATAATAATGCTCCTGAAGCGCCACTAGATGCCATGAGGCGCGCGATTTAGTGTACCAGGATACTATAAATTCCATAGTATTTGATACGCGCAACGCTTGATGCCCGATTCATGCTTGAAGCTCGATGAAGTGTGCCGAGGGCTTGATAGTGTGGTTCATTACCTACTGCGTTACTCGTAGAGAAGAGGAACTCGTAGTTAAGTAACAGTTGCGTAGATCAATATCTCTGCAAGATAAAGATGCACTTGCTGCGATCGGTCCATGTGTGGGTGACCGTTTTCTTAACATACTGCGATTGAGAGAAAAGAAGAGTGCATCTGTATCCTCGGACACTTGATGCACTTTAATGTCTCCAGCGTATTTGACTTGTCTATGTTAAGATCATTGTATTTTTTAAATTCATGCAGCTAAAATTATAATAAATTTATTATTACTTTATATTTTTCAGGGACAGATGAAAGAAAGAGTAGCCTCATCATATATCACTCGTGACATAACCCCTCCACCTTTGAAATCACAAGAAAGAAGTGATCAATTTACACCAAGAAAAAAACTTTTATCAAAAATCGAGAAATTAAAACAAAAGAAAATACGTAGCTTAGCAGGAAAAACTAAAAGACAGGCTAAAATAATTGTTACATTGCATAACATGCTTGAAGAAATTCATTCAACACCATGTGGTAAAATAGTGTCTGCATCCAAATATAACGAAGAATTACGAAAATTTGCTGTCACAATACATTTCTATAGTCCAAGAGCATATAATTATTTACGTGAAAAATTTGATTTGTGTTTTCCACACGTTAACACATTGCGTACATGGTATGCCAGACTAGACTGTGAACCTGGTTTCACTGAAGAATCTTTAAACACCATTAGAGAAATGAGAAAAAAGAAGCCTGATCTAAAACTATGTCTCGCTTTTGATGAAATGAGTATACGTGAATACACTGAATGGGTAGGCTAGACGCATTATGGACAAAGTTTCATGATGCATCAAACACTTCTTAAAAAATGCGTCATGAGCTCTCGAACCAATATAGGTGTTCACTGCTGGTTTCTCTCGAATCTCATCGGGCGGCTAGGGTTTATGCGGTCATTCGCGCTCCGAACAGAGTGTTCATTATTTTAATTTTTCATTATCTCTTAACCTATGCGTCCAAATAACATGCTATAAAGAGCAAAGTTTATCTTCATAAAATTGTCTTGATGATGAAGTAACTTTCGTTCGTAATGGTTTATATGCTATGCCTAATAATAACGCTCATAAATCACTTTTTCATTTTCAATAAATTTTTTTCACAAAAAACTTATTGTGGCTTATGTATACGAAATAAGCATGTGGCGGGTGGAAGGAAAAGGGGAGATCTCCCGCCGGGTAATGTGTTCTGCCCGGGGAGCGACCAACGCTCCAATTAGTAGTTCGGAGCTATTCTGTAGAAGTTAAAGCAGCATATGTAATGCTGCTTTAACTTCGGAACTTTCTTAGTGCGGTTTAGGCTTCGATATGTTTTGCTTGTGGCGCGACGACAGCGCCGCCACATCACCCCCCTGCTCAGACTGAAGGTCAATAGTGCAGTCCGATTGCAAGTGCCAGGAGTTGCCTTGTAGTCTGCGGTGAGTCGAGAAGGAGGCAAGTAATCTGGAAGAGTGCCGTGAAGCAGAGGCGAGCAGTAAGGCTCAGAGCCGTGCCGAACACTGTAGCGCAGAGAGTAGCTTGAAGGAACAGGAAACATTATTATTCCAGTGCTGCGATGAACCTTTGTAAAGCTAGATGGATTGCAGAATGTGAAGACTGCAGACAATATCTGCTAGGAAGCGAGTTAATGGGGTACTTGAGGATGATGACGAAGGTTTTGAAGTTGTAGCTTCCGAAGGTTGTTTGTTGCGTGCTCATATCACGTCGGGGTCACCACTGTGGCGGGTAGAAGGAAAAGGGGAGATCTCCCGCCGGGCAAGGTGTTCTGCCCGGGGAGCGGCCAACGCTCTGATTGGTAGTTCAGAGCTATTCTATATAGGCTGCTTTAACTTCGGAAATTTCTTAGTGCGATTTAGGCTTCGATATGTTTCGCTTGTGGCGCGACGACAGCGCCGCCACAGGCATATGGTATCGCAGACTTTTTTTAGATGGAGCAAAGACCAATATTTTTGTAGAACATCGTATTTAGGTAATACTAAATGTTACGCTACCGCACGTGGATAAAGCAGTTAGACAGCGCCTTTTCTTCCGACTTGCTTAACAAAAATCAATATATAAGGTTAGCTGATAGTTATATGCTAGATAGCCTATACTATTCCTTATGAATCGGGCTATTATATACAAAAATTTTAAATTTGAACTGGTAGTTCCAGAGATTAGCGTGTTTAAACAAACAAAAAAAAAACAAAATAACTCTTCCACTTTATTATTTTAGTATAGATTAAGTGATTTTTTTTTGTTTCTGTTTCCGATTCTGTTTTATAAATATTAAAGGTAATAATTATATAAAAAATAAAGCAGCCATAATATACTCCGTGTCCTCGTTTTTTATTTTACCAGCAAAACATTTTATAAAATATAAATAGGTAGATACTTAATTAAGTTTATATTATTTATTTATATTTGATGTATTTATAAATAAATATATAAAATATTTATTTATATTTGATTAACATTATGTTGAAAAAGAAATAAATTCCGAGGAAATTGTAAAAGGCATTAAACATTTTTCTCCAAAGGTCAAAAATATAACTTTCCGATCTGATTGTTGGAGAAAATTGTTTCATTTCATCGGTAGACTTACCTCGCCTCTTCAGATATTATTGCAATTTTGTACATTTTGAATTAAAGTCCAACAAAAGGCAAGTCGTGTCGGTGAAAGAATTTCCACTACCCAATATCGTCCCATAAAAGGCGACAAAGGGAAACTGAAAGAGGCGATAGGCAGCAGCATCTTCCTGATAACAACTGGAAATAATAAAAAACTGTGGCTGACAACCCGCTGGCCAAGCGATGGCAAATATCCCCCCTATGAGGCAATCTATAGGGAGGCCCATGTTGAGTAGTGGATTTTTATAGGCTGTAATGGATTATGGATGATGTGCAGGTGGGTGCAGCTTATTCCCGGTAACATGTTATTTGAATATTTTTAGTTATTTTAAAACTATCATGGTAAAAATTTAGTTAATTTTTAATAAAATAGTTTAGTGCTCAAAAGTTATTCAGTTATGTGCACTAAACTAGTTTTTTAGTCTTTATACCGGTTGCTGAACAAAAATTTTTCGATAGCCCTTTTAACTAAAATGCACATCACTAGCCAACTCAACAATAACAAATCAAAATTGGTCACGCGTTTTCGGGCCGTCAGGTCGTTTATACGCCAGTATATCCTAAGTCTATGGTTAGTACTAGTGTTGTTGACAAACGATTATCAACGTCACGCCTAATGTCAATGTCAATTGTCAACTGTCACTATCATTTACAAAAGTCAAAAACAATTCCTAGTAATTTCTAAATAAGTTATTTTCTCTGTAGTCTATTTTGTAAACATTGATTACGGTTTCCTTGTTATTTTTAACTACGGTAAACAGATTGCAGTTATTGTTATATAGGATAATACTGCCACATTCGTAATTTATGTAAAGTGCGTAATGTTACAAAACCATGTATATAACAAAATAGGTGAATGTATCTGATTTCCAATTTAATCGAATGAGGTATCAATGCGCTCATCTGTGAGCTATATATTGTCTCATGCGCCTGGAGAGTCAGTAATGTCGCACCCTGACTATGCGCAACATGCACAACACCACGCCTGTCTTTTGGTGTTGGTTAAAGGTATTGGAGGCGTCCTAAAGAATTTTAATAAGCTGTGGGAAAGGATACAGAGAGTCAACAATATAAAAGTTACTGGTATGTAAATTTTTTTTTAATGATGCTAATGACCTCTGAACTTATAGCTTTAGTGTGGTGAGACATAGAACATTATAGAATTAAAAAAAATCTTCTAGCCTTGATCATCCCATTTCAATAGTAAGGGGTAGCTAAGACACCTTCCTAAATTTGAAAAAGGCATTCTCCATTGATATTGGCTTTTCACGTGTATAGTTGCAAGCATTTCTTATTATTTAGCACATCCATGATATGATGCAATTAAAGCTAACTGGTAAAGAATTATGTCATATAGTGGTGGCATAATAGAATCCACTATCCCATGTTTTGACCCTTTTGAACTATATAAACTATGGGAAATAAATATTTCACATTTATTGCTATTTGGTTCACGATTTCAAATTTGAAATAATAGGTTGAATTCCCAAACTGAAAAAAGCTGGACCTAGTGGGTCAACCTGCTGTACACTAACATCAGATTCAATAATATGGTTTTTATAAAACAAGTTCGAATTTTGACTGTAACATTGCCAAATGTAATGATACATTTTGGGGGTATTGTTAGGCACTTCTTTCAGCAGGTTTACCCTATCAAAAGAGTTAAAAGCATTCCTAAGGTCAACTTTCACAAGACTACATGACAAAGACAACCTACAAAGAAATTATGAATGATACTCCCTCAATTTAATATGCAATTTACCCTTCTGTGTAAAAGTTGCAAAATAATAAAAGAAACAGAAGATGTATATTTTATTCATACTGCATGTGGGGGGTGGATGGAAAAGGGGAGATCTCCCGCCGGGCAAGGTATTCTGCCCGGGGATTGGCAACGCTCCAATTGGTAGTTTGGAGCTATTCTATATATGCTGATTTAACTTAGGAACTTTGTTAGTGCGATTTAGGCTTAGATGTGTTTCGCTTGTGGCGTGACAGCGCCACCACACTGCAAGTCTTTGTATGTGTATCTCCCATCTGCTTTTTGGGGTATGTTGAAAAAGATTCCAAGTGCTTAGCTATCTTTTGTTGTGTGCTTATTGCTCATCTTTGACACAAGACTCAGCACCTAATTTACCAGTGAAATTAAAACATTTTGTTTGTATTCTATGTTTTTAATGATAAACGCTTATAGCATTTACAGCTACCTTATTGAGCAGACCATAATATATTGTCATTGACCAAAGTTTACTAAAAGAAGAAAAATGAGGTGACAATCTCGAAAATACATTTTGTCACATAGACTGACATTGATCATGTTGACATCAGCAGTGTTATATCTTACTGTAATCCAAAATATGAACTAAATACTTAATAGCCTCTTTTCATCCAAGCAATGTGCTGTAAAGTTTAAGCAGCAATACATATTCATAACAGAAATATACCTTTCTTTTATACATACAGTAAATGTTTGTTGTTCATTTAGTACTCAATGATTAATACAAATACCATACAATTAGGTATGTTTAAATAAAACTAATTTTACGGATTTAATCGCGTATATTAACTTATTTTATATTCCCGACGTTTCGGGTGCTTTCCAGCACCCGTGGTCACGGGGGACTGAGGTGTTTGACGTCCTGCTGTCATAGTTAACCTGGCTACCTTCAGTTTTTTAATATTAATTTTTGGTTCGATTTACGCAGAATGAGTTTACAGTATCTTGAAGTCTAGCAGTGGTATACTTGGGTTTGGATTTGATTTTATAAATTATGGGATTAAATCAGTAGTTGTTTTAAATGTATTAGTTGTAGGGTCTATTTTGACCTTTTTGTATGTACTTACGTCCGATAAAAGTTGTTGTATTTTGAAATTATACTCTGACGTGTCCATTATTACCGTAGCATTTGCTTTATCCTCTACTTGCATGTAGAAGAGTAGCTACGACAGCAGGACGTCAAACACCTCAATCCCCCGTGACCACGTTTCGAAACGTCGGGAATATAAAATAAGTTAATATACGTGATAAAATCCGTAAAATTAGTTTTATTTAAATGTGTATGTTTTAACGGTGGTAGAGCCACGCAGCAGTTTTTGCTGTTGCACGTATGGGCCGGCTCCAGCCGGGTTGGTACCACGACCTCACAGAATACCGGCGTGAAGTAGAGGCTATGCTTCTGCGTTTCGTCTGGTGAGTGCAGGTGGCCGGAGGCCCAATTCCGAACAAATTTCTGACCGAGACGCAGGGTTCCTCTCCGGCTGATATTTCGTATCTCTCCTACCCGGGGTACAAATTGGAGCACTCCTTTGTGCCTCGGGCTGGAGTTTGCGTGTATGTCAGAGAGGACATCTGTTCTCGACGCCTCGGCAGTCTTAAAGATTTGGACCTGTCCATCCTTTGGCTACGCATAGACAGCGACGACCATCCGCGCGTCTACGGGTGCCTCTATAGGTCCCATAGCGGTAATGCTGAAACAGACCGACTCATCGACCACGTCCAAATGGCTACAGATTCCTTGCTACAACAGGTCCCATCCGCAGAGATCGTGATGCTTGGCGATTTTAACGCCCACCATGCCGAATGGCTCGGTTCACGTTTAACCGATCATGTGGGGAGATCTGTTTATGACTTTGCCTTGGCATATGGTCTGACACAACTGGTTACTTCGCCTACACGGATTCCAGATGTGGAGGATCATACACCTTCCCTGTTGGACCTTCTGCTGACCTCTCATCCGGACGGATATCAGGTTTCAGGGGCATCGCCCTCTCGGCTCTTCGGACCATTGTCTGATCCGGAGTGTGGTGCTACTCACGCTCCCTTCGCGGTTGCGTTCTGCAGGTTGCCGCCATGTTTGGCATTACAGGTCGGCGGATTGGGACGGAATGCGGTCTATCTTTGCATCCTACCCATAGGGGCGGGTTTGCTTCTCGCCGGATGATCCCAGCGCTGTTGCTGACTCTGTCACTGATGTGGTGCTACAGGGACTGGCACTATTTATTCCATCATCTGTGGTACCCATCGGAGGCAGATCTCAGCCTTGGTTTTGTCGCTCCTGTAAGACTGCATTACGCAGTAAGCAGGAGTGTTATCAAGCCTGGGCTGCGGCTTCGGCGACTCGGGATGTAAACACCAGCACACTTAAAAAGAAGTATAACTTCGCCTCCAGGTCCTTCAAAAGAGTTATTGCCAAGGCAAAGTCAGAGCACATAGGCAGAATTGGCGAGAAACTAGTTCGCCTTCCTTCGGGAACCCGTGCATTCTGGTCTCTCGCCAAGGCTGTCCAAGGGAATTTCTGTAAGCCATCACTACCATCTCTGCACAGGGAGGACGACTCACTGGCCCAAGACGCGAAAGACAAAGCTGACCTTTTAGGCTCCCTTTTTGCATCCAACTCGACTCTTGATGACGGGGGGAAATCACCGCCGACCATCCCGCGGTGTGAGTGCTCCATGCCGGATGGCGTTCGGTTCGCAGTTCGCTCAGACCCGTCCAACTATAGGCCTATCGCGATCACCTCCTTGTTCTCCAAAATAATGGAATCCATTATTAACTGTCAGCTCATCCGGTACCTTGAGGATCACCAGCTGATTAGTGACCGCCAATACGATTTTCGTCGGAGTCGATCAGCTGGTGATCTTCTGGTCTACCTGACCCATAGATGGGCGGAGGCAGTAGAGTCCAAGGGGGAGGCGTTGGCCGTTAGTCTGGACATTACGAAGGCCTTCGATCGGGTTTGGCACAAAGCGCTTCTTTCGAAGCTCCCTTCCTATGGGCTTCCCGAGAAATTGTGCAATTGGATCACCAGCTTCCTTGCAGATCGGAGCATCAAGGTCGTTGTAGACGGTGCATGTTCTGACTACAAGCCTATTAACGCTGGTGTTCCACAAGGCTGTGTGCTATCACCAACGCTGTTTCTTCTGCATATCAATGATATGTTGCTAACTGGTAACATTCATTGCTATGCGGATGACAGCACTGGTGATGCTCTATACACCGGCCGTGCCAATATTACTCAGGAAAACGTCGCCGAGTGCCGGAACAAACTTGTGTCTGAAGTCGAGTCTTTGCTGAACAGTCTCGGATTGGGGGCGACTAAATCTAGTCCAGTTTAATCCCGAGAAGACACAAGTTTGCGCGTTTGCCGCTAAAAAGAACCCCTTTGTCGTATCTCCTCAGTTTCAAGGCACTCCCCTTCTTGCCTCAGCCAGTATCGGTATCCTCGGAGTCGACATATCGAGTGACGTGCAGTTTCGTGGTCACTTGGAAGAGAAGGCCAAATTGGCCTCTAAAAAGCTTGGCGTGCTCAGCAGAGCGGGACAGTATTTCATGCCGGCACACCGTCTGCAACTTTACAAGGCGCAGGTTCGGCCTCACATAGAATACTGTTCCCATCTCTGGGCAGGGGCTCCCCAGTGCCAGCTCCTTCCACTTGACCGCATCTAGCGCAGAGCGGCTCGAATCGTCGACGACCGAGCCCTTTCCGATCGGCTCGATTCATTGGCACTGCGAAGAGATGTTGCATCCCTTTGCATTTTCTTTCGCATCTACCATGGGGAGTGCTCTGAGGAATTGTTCGGATTAATCCCAGCCGCCAAATTTCACGAACGCACATCGCGGCAGAACTCCCGATACCATCCACACCATCTGGATGATTGGCGGTCCACCACTGTGCGATTTAGAAGATGTTTTCTTCCTCGCACGACTTCCTTGTGGAATCGATTACCATCAGCGATTTTTTCGGACCGATACGACTTAGGGACCTTCAAGAAAAGAGCGTACTCCTTTTTAAAAGGCCGGCAAAGCATCTGCGATTCCCCTGGTTCCCCTGATGTTGCAGTTGTTCATGGGCGGCGGTAGTCACTTACCATCAGGTGAGCCGCATGCTCGTTTGCCCCCTCTCCTATAAAAAAAAGTAGTGTTCGCGTAAATATAAGAAATCAATTAGGTATGGTTTATGGTATGTGTGTATGTCTACAGTGTTATAAGCTTTTGATTTTGTTGATATATAACATCCTTTCAGATTCCACTGGTCAAGTAAGAGACATTTGGGTCAGATATGTCAGAGACTACCCTGTGGAAAATAATGACTGGGGCGATTTTCAGACTCATAGGTAATTCACACACTATTATTAAAATATGTTTAGCGTGTTTTATTACTATTTGCCTAAAAAATAACTATCGTATATAATTTACCAGTTGTAACTACAGATAAATTATGATTTACCATATTTTCTATCAGAATATTCTGAAGATAATAAATAAAAAAAATTCCCATAATTATACCTTTATTTATGAAGTATCTTCATATTATGCTCCAAATAATTAAATAAACCAACTTTTGTATGTCAATCATTTTACTTTACAATAACATTTTAAATTGATATATAAATAACATCATATTAATATATAAATAACATCATATTGCTATAAGTTTTTAAATTTACAGGCGTTTACTGGGCTTGATAACATTGAGCAAATTTACAAATCAAGTAGAACTGAATGAAGCATGTAGGGTCCATGAATCTCTCAAAGTTAAATACTCTAACACACTTTATGACTCTCGAGCCTTTATGTTTGGACCAGGCAGTAATTTAAAAAAACCAGTACAAGAACCGGACACTTATAGTGTTTTTGAAGATGATAGGCCACCAAAAGACAGCTTAAATGATGAGTAAGTTAAAATTTAATAGTTTAATATTCTTTATATCCATGCCAATATAATTAATCGGAAGAGTTTCTTTGTTTAAACACGCTAATCTCTTGAATTACCAGTCCTATTTCAATTTTTTTTTGTGTATATTATAGTCAGATTATTGGCATCATATCGACAGAACTATCGGCTATACAGCAGTAGGCTATGCTTTTCAGCTAGCCTTAGATATCTATGTTTGTTAAGCAAGTCAAGAAAAAGCGCTCATGAACTGTTTTATTCATGTGCACTGGCGTAATGGTAGTATAAAAAGTTCTACAAAAATATAGATCTTTACTTCATCTAAAAAAAGGTTTTTGCGATACCTTATGCCCATTTCTTATACATAAGCCACAATAAGGTATTTTGTGACAAAAAATTTAAAAATAAAAATTGAGTTATGAGCGTTATTATAGGTATTGCATATCAATCCTTACGAACAAAAGTTACTTCATCATCAAGAAAATTTAATGAAAAATTTTATGACCTTGCTCTTTATAGCATGTTATTTGGACGCATAGCTTAAGAGATAATGATAATTTAAAATTAAAATTTTGTACAACCGACTTCAATATATATTATTAAGAGTAACTCAAAAACTATTGGTTAGACCTTGATCAAATTTATATTATATATTTGGGACCACATGTGAAGCACCAGCTTTCAATTAAAAAGAATCATTGAAATCGGTTCACCCAGTAAACAGCTATGAGGTAACACACATTAAAATAACATACAGTCGAATTGAGTTCTGGCTCCTTTTTGAAAAATTAAAATAAGTCAATACTCAGTTCGGCGCGCGAACGACGCTTAACCCTAGCCCCCTGATGAAAACCGAGAAAAAACGTGATATACGCGGGTGGAACCGCAGGGCACAGCTAGTCTTATATAAAATTGTTAGTGCGTCAACCACGGGGAGTGCTCTGAGGAATTGTTCGGACTAACTCCAGCCGCTCAATTTCACCATCGCACACTGCGACAAAACTTGCGATACCATCCATACCACCTGGATGATTGGTGGTCTAACACTGTGCGATTTAGAAGATGTTTTCTTCCTCGCAAAACTTCCTTGTGGAAACTGTGTTTATACGTGGTAGAGCCATGTTGCAGCTATATTAATAGTATATTTGTAGTACGAATGGGTCGGCTCGACCGGGGAAGGACCACGCTCCCACAGAATACCAGCGTAAAATAGCAGCTTAATGTTGCTGTGTTTCGTATGGTGAGTGTAGAGAACTGGAGACCCATTTTACTGGAAAAGAGGCATTCTATCTTAGTCCTCACGGCTGACAACGCATCTGCATTTTAATTTGTAAACAAAGATAGATGTAGATGTCTATGGGCCACAGTAACCACCATCAGGTGGACTGTGTGCCCGTTTGTCACCCTTATTCTATAAAAAAAAATCGATTACCACCAGCGATTTTTCCGGACCGATATGATTTAGGGACCTTCAAGAAAAGAGCCTACTCCTTTTTAAAAGGCCGGCAACGCATCTGCAATTCCCCTGGTGTTGCGGTTGATCATGGGCGGCGGTAGTCACTTACCATCAATCACTAACAGATTGTGTAACTTAGAATTGGTTGATTGAGATTGTATTCATACAATATATTGGTTTTGTGGAGGCAATGGTTCACTGCTATGCTAAGAGCCTATAGGAGTTTATAATCAAATTAATATTAGTGTAAAAAGTTACTCATATTCACAATATTTATTATGCTTAGTGCAAAAAAATATCACTTTGTTATCAAATTGGACCCGATAGATAGCGCTGTAATCTGATATGGTATTCTTTCCATGAATATGTTGCCCATATCCACCATGCTGAGCAAGTGCTGGTGAGTGTAAAGCAACACCCACACGCTGACCTACCAACCTTTCCTATATCCTGACACATTCGTCATATTCTCAAATACATTAAACCCGAGAGTAACAACATGGTAATACATGCAGAAAGGAATAAAAGCTCAGGACATCAGGACCATGCTTTTCGACAATTTTCGGAGGTGGCCTATGTTCAGCGGTAGAATTTTGATGGGCTGTGATATTGACAAGAACAAAATATTTCTACTAATTCCAGAACATCAGCACCAAGCGAACAATCAGACAGTCTCTCATCAAATGATACTTTTCTAAGATCATCATCGTCAAGTGCTTCATACGCAGTACAAGAAGAACACTTCACAACACCATCTAATTTCAAAACCCATGCTATGTTCTATGGAGAAAATGATCCAGTGCCGGACTTGGAGCAGAATGTTGCAGACCTCATTAACTCTCTCTTTTGGGTGGTAGAGTCCAAAAGATTGGAAAGATCTCGTGAAAAACTTGATAAAGTGTCTTTACTTTTGGCGCCATTCGAAATAAAAGACTTTGTAGGTAATAAATAGTTTAATTTTTTATCCATTCACCTTGTCAACAAAGTTGTAATGTTATTATAAGGCTTGAAAACAATTGAAAAGTCATAATTTATATAATAATACAGAGTGAAACCATCAAGGATTTTAAGGAAATTATAACAATAAAAACGCTATTTTTAGGTGCTCTCTAATCCCACATTGATTATCTTGATATCAAAATTCTATCAACTTTTTTTAATATAACTTCATATCTTGAATAAAAAGTAATTTAATTGTATATATGTATACTTATATAAAAATCTTATCCTTTATGTTTTGTAAAATTAAAAATAAATCAGTTAATAAAGCAATAATAATTTTTAAATTATTAAGCAATATATCACAGTTTGTTTTTCAAACAACACAAAATAAAAAAGTAATTAAATGTAAGTAGAATGAAAAATATTATGTATAGAATGTATACTTCATACAGCTACACTGCAATTATATTATAGTTGTCTCTGTGTTGCTCTCACATAATACCAGTGTAAAATAGCAGCTTAATGCTGCTGTGTTTCATATGGTGAGAACTGGAGACCCTTTTTACTGGAAACAAGGCATTCCATCTTAGTCCTCATGGGTGTCAATGGATCTGCATTTTGATTCTTAATTGAGGGTAAATGTTAATGTCTATGGGTCGGTCAAATCATTCACTCACCATCAGGTGGACTGTGTGTTCGGTTGTCACCCTTATTCTGTTTATGAAAAAAAAACTTGATATTTTTCATCTATAACTTATTAATTTTCAGGTTTGGACATGGAGTCACGTAATAACAAGAAACGCTGTATGGGACGCGTCACAAAAAATTTAGCAGACTTAACATTACAAGCTGGACTTGTAGCAGAGTGTTTGAGTTTATATCATTCAGCTGCAGAAACATTAAAGTCCGTGAATGATTGGTTATGGTTAGCTGCTGCAAAAGAAGGTAAGTACTTGTTCTTGTTTTAAGTGTATATGTATGTACACAAAAATATAAATTACTAGCTTTTTACCCGCGGCTTCGCACGCGTGCGCCTGAATTTAGGGACATCATTAAATGATGTTCCGTGTCAAATTTTGAAATATTCGATCACTTTTAGAGTCACCTTGGTGTCTATGTCTGTCAGAGATTTTTTTCATTCTAAAATACTATTAGACGTAGATGATTACAACAGGTAACATGCTACAGAAACACGTGAATATATAATATGTCTAGAAACTCCTACTATTTTTTATATATGGCGTGTCTTCCGATTCCGATGTATCCATAAGAAAGGTAAATAGTCTTGAAATCAAAATGTATTATTATTATTTACATTTTACTCTTTACATATATATATACAAAGTGACGATGAAGTTATCACGTTAAATGAAAAGACGTATTCTATACAAAGTTCTTTAAACATACACAACTAAAAAAATATATAACAATTAACATTCTGGGCGCGGTAGCCTTTTTTTTGTTTTAATATTAAACAACATCATGTAAATGCATCAGATATCACCTGATAAATACTAGAAGTTCAAAGACCCATGGCCCGTGAAGGCCAAGAGACCTATATTGTATTATAGTGCAACGTTGCCAATTTTAAATAATCAAATAAAGTAATAAATTAAGCAAAAAATGTACTTATATGTAACAAAATAAGGCATAATTCTTATGCGCGATGCGACAAGAATTGGGACGGGGTGTTGGGAGGGTGGGATGTGGTCGATTGGCGCGTGCGACGATAAAGTAAGACAGTAAGTCACTTAGTCCGACGCCGGCGTCCTTGGGAACGGTTCATTAATCGCTTGACCTAATTTTAGTTTTTCGCGTACACGTCCTTTTAATTTAAAGTTTTTTTTTGTGGATATTTTCATAAGTTTCTTGATTTGTTTGTGATAGGACACGTTAATACTATAATAATAATTGTGTTGAGGAGGTGGTGTGATTATTTGTGCGAAATTTGACGCTTTCTTTTACTGTTTTGTATTTTTTATTTGTGATAGGACTCGTTAATAATAGATAAGTGATATTTAATAACTTAGTGGTGTGTCAGCCCGTGCGCAATTGGACGCTTTTATTTTTTTAAACGTATAACTTTTTTTATTTTAAAATGCCTCGTATCAATTTTACGTCATTGGAATACACCGATATGGTTTTAATTTATGGAGAATGCCACCAAAACGCGTCCCTGGCATTACGAACATACCGAGAGAGGTATAATACCACACGTGTATGTCCTACAGACTCACGGATTTTTATACGGGCAGTCCAAAGATTACGTGACGGCGAAAATTTGATTCCACGTCAGGTTGAAATTCCTCCGCGAGTCGCCGTGGCTCAGGAAGAACGAATATTAAATTATTTCGCTCGTAATCCAACATCAAGTCTCCGTAGAGCAGCTCGCCAATTCTGTGTACACCACAAGTCTGTTCACAGAATATTAAAAAAAAACAAGCAACGGCCGTTCAAATACGTAAAGGTACAGGCTTTATTAGATAGAGATAAGCCAGTTAGGGAAGCCTACTGTGAATGGCTCCTGAGCAAAGTAGCTAATGACTCTAGCTTTTTAGCAAACGTAATGTGGACTGACGAGAGCACATTCACGCGTAACGGAATATGGAATCGGCAGAACTTACGATACTGGAGTCAAGAAAATCCGCAACTGTGTCGAGAGTCTATGCACCAATATAGATTTGCCGTTAATGTTTGGGCTGGAATACACGGAGATCAAATAATTGGTCCCGTGTTTATCGAAGGCAACCTTAATGGGCCTAAATTTTTGGAACTGCTTGACGACACAGTGGCGGATTACGTTGATGGACTATCGTTGGGGGCCAATAGCCGGTTATGGTACCAGCTTGATGGAGCACCTGCTCATTCAGTGGTGGCTGCCAGGCAGCGCCTCACTGAGATGTTCGGAGAGAACTGGATTGGCAGATACGGACCTTCTCGGTGGCCAGCACGGTCTCCGGATCTAACACCGTTAGATTTCTTTTTATGGGGTTACATAAAAAATGAGGTGTACTCTACTGAAGTAACGACTGTCGAGGACTTAAAAATAAGAATAATGCGGGCTTTCGACAAAATAAAAAATTTTGCAGCCAATGGTGCCCTCTTTCGAAAAGTCCGAAATAATATCATGCGACGATGTCAATTATGCATTCGGGTACACGGCGGACATTTTGAAAATTTAAAAATTTGATTTGTTTCATAAACTTGAGTGATTTCAAGGTTAAAGTGATTATTTGGATAAAAAAATACCATGAAATTTGTGATTTGTTGATAACATCGGATTAGCATCGCCCTACGCGTGCCTAATTACCTATGTATGGGCAAGTCCTAGGACCTAGGTATTATAATATAATTACCTATATCGATGTCGCATGAGCAATGAACCGCTGGCCGCGACGTTGCCGCTTCTACAAGTCATTTCAGGTCAGTTAAGTAATATTATCAAGGATGATTTATTTTATGTGATTTTTTACCCTATTTATTTTGTTTGAAAGATGCATTTTTTATTAGTTTTTATTATTGTTTATTTTATTATTTTAACAGACATATATCAACTTGTATTAACTGTTGTGCTATTTAACGTGATAACCTGGGCGCCACCCAGTATATATTCATAGTTAAAGTAAATTTAGTTTTAAGAAAGTAATATAATGTTTATTTGAGACATTTTATTCATATCATTGGTCCTATTTAATATTGATTGGCACCATAAAAAGATATAGATTTTTTTTTTATTTCGAGTAGACTTGAAAATTTCATAAATATAGTTCTATAATAATAAATACCACACATGGATTAAAACTAATGTTACGGGTTTTTTACGCATCTTGGCTCCTCACCGAATGAAAGCACCGAAGCTCCGGGAAGTCTAAAGTATGTAAACATGTTTAGTATCGTCCCAACCATTATATACAACAAATCCTTGCAATAGAACACTGAATCCTACCAATGATGATTCGCGAGGCTATTGAAATTAAAAATATCCTAATTTTAATAGGGAAGATAGCTGAGTGGTACTATCTGCTAAGGACTCCATGATTAATAAAATTAAATTCAAACTACAACTGCATTTTAACTATTCTATTTTAACTATGACATCAGGTCGTCAAACACCTCAGTTCTCCCGCCCCTCCCGTGACCATGGGTGCTGTAAATTGCCCAAACCATCGGGAATTTAAAAAGTTAAAATTAAACGTGATAAAATCCTTAAAATTACTTTTATTCCTTATAAATTTTATACACAGTGACGTGAGGAATACTACACCCATGAACGGGAGTAGAAAAATGTTCGCACTGTTGTGGCGGTGAAAGAAAATCCAACACCTCATATCGTCCCGTCGTAAGAGGCGACATAGGAAAAAAACAGTAGATGGGATGATCTGCATTATCTTCTTGAAAACAGATCAAAATAATAATAGCTGCGGTTGCCAACCCACCACTATAGCAACTATCCAGCTACTTGACAATTTATGGGGGAGGCCTATGCTCGTTTCAGTGGACTTTTGATAGGCTGACGATAATGAGTTCTACTCATCTTTGGAAGCCTTAATATTTACGGTAGAGTGAAAACAAAAATTAACATGCCCGAAAACACGAATGAAATAAAAACTGCATATATTGCCCCATGAAAAGTAAAAAAGCAGCTTACATACATGTTACTACTGGGCATAGGCTGTAGAGTTTTTGGCCAAAAAAGAGTTCGCTGCACTGATTCCAACGCGGGATGAACGTAATGTAAATGATTCAATTATTTACATCTTATAATCAATAGCATTGTATTATTTCATTTTATCAATGACTTGCCATTTTAATTTATTTAGAAGTAAGTAGGTGGCGCTAATATTACATGAAATAATGAAAGCCAAAATTATACCATCTAGTAATATCAGCAATAGAAACGAACATTTATTTATTTATTATTATTACAATTAATATTATTTATTATAAGGGATAAAGTCATGTCAATTCTCTTAAAAGTTCTGTTTCTGTTAAAAATAAGCTATCAGCGCCGCTAGCGGTGAAAAACGATAATGATATCGTTATATGACCATATTATGAAAAAGCAACGTTGTGTTTAGTTACTAATAACTTCAAAAGATTTCTATTCATTGATTTGGTCAAGTTATATCATGACATGGTCAACAAATAGTGTTAAATACAAATACATTCATTTCAGTCTTTTCACGAAATGATAGACTACTTTATGATATATGATCAATCCTACGATCTGGCCACGACATACATAAAAATCTCTTTAGTAAAACTATGATGATAATGAAAATTTTGCAACAATTGCAGACAGACCAGTTTTTACCACTTTACATATATATATATATATATATTAGTAATTGAAATAAATACCTTTACAATGTTCATATTTTTTATAGACGTCACTATTATCTATTGAAATTATTGCACTTTTAAAATAAAATAACAAAAATACTAAAAAACTGAACGTTACAATTTTTTAATAATTTTAAAAATCTAATAATTTAATTCATTTATTAGTAAATGAAGGCAAAATATACAACTTTTTCCATTTGATGATAGATGGCGCTGTTTTGAATACGAAATCGGTGTAGTTTCAAATTATTTTACCAAGATTATAACTATATTTAAAACTTTATTTACAAATATGGTATTTATTTGAAAAACACCCGTCATTCCGCCTATAACTAAGATACAACAGAAAATTAACATCTAAAGGAAATTAATATACTTAACCTTCCTTTTTTGAAGTTCCGTAATCGGATAAAAAGTAGCCTATAAGTTGCCCCGGGTTACTGACTACCTACATACAAAATTTCATGTAAATCGGTTCAGTAGTTTTTGCGTGAATCCGGAATACACAGACAGACAGACAGACAGAAAGACAGACAGACAGATAGACAGACAGACAGACAAAAATTCTAAAAACCACTAATTTGGCTTCCGAACCCTTTATTTAGTCCCCTGGAGTTGTTTTTTCAAGAATATATTAGAATTACAGACACGACTTTTCTACAGATTTATTATATGTATAGATTTAAAAAATATAGTGATATTCATTTTGTAAATACTAGGAACAGACACAAGCTAGTAGACCAGTTACTTAATAAACTACAGAGATAGTAATTTATTCTTAAAGCAATTTACCTATACACTTTGACAAGAAATTCCCAGAAAGTATATAACATTTGTCCACCGGGATTCAAAAGGGATTATTATAATATTAAAGAATTCATGGACGATAATAATCTTTTGGAATAAGGTGATCACTGTCAAGCTCTTTAACATAACATAGCATAAACACTCACCCCTGTCACCCAGCAGGGTAGGCAGAAACTATGGACTTCCATTTGGCACAATCCTATATAAATAAATAAATAAAATAATTAATTTTTCTTCACAAAACTTAAATTAATTACATAGTTGATTGGGGTCTCTATTTAAGTAAGTAATGCGTGTGTTTGGAGACCCCGCTCTTCCTTATCTAAACATATATTTTTTAATTGTAAAAACCAAAATGACAATGCAGATGTGACACAGTTTTTGTTCTAAATTGCCAGTCAAGAAGTGTACATTATAGCAGTCTATGTGCTGATTAAGTTGATTTATCGGAATGCGAAAAAATTGGATATAATTTATTTATGCTTTTCTTCAAATTAGTTTTTCCACTTCATCTGATTTATTCATATGGAGAGTGACAAACGAACTAACGGTCTACCTGCAACAAACTTTGGCTCAGGCTAAGATTAAAATCCAGGATCTACGGCAGGTCTGAATGAATGAAGATATTAAATTTAAACGAGGCGGAGTCAGAGCGATGTTTTTCTCTATTAAATTATTTCACATATTTGTTTTTTCGTTCGGTTACTTCTATATTAGGAAATAAACATAAGTTACTTTAATATTATTCAAAAACTACATTAATTGTTATTTAACGCACATTTCAGGCCACTGTGCAGCCTCAGCGATACTTCAATATCCAAACTTACGTAACACCACGCCCTTGCAAAGAAACGCCAGCCTGCAAGAGAGTTCTCCTAATAAAACCAAACCATTGTCTTTATTTCAACCATGCTCTGATAGCTTTAGAAAATACAAGTTAACCGCATCTCCGCTAAGGTCTTCGAAAACATCGAGTCCAATAAACCCACCCGGTGAACTCACACCTTCTTCGTCCGATAGTGTTGACACTTCGTCAAGGCAGTCCGAGACAGATAACGCAGACACAGAATCCATCACATCTTCCGGTGATATTGAGTACCAAAGTCCTAAATCTTACCTTGGTATTGATCTGCCCTCTATACCCAGACAACCTCCCTCCCAAATTAACAATCAGTATCTTCTAAGCGGGGAGGATATAGCAGAGAAATACCGTAAAGCTATCATACATTATAGCAAATATCAAAATGCTGGTATTATCGAGACAGAGGCCTGTTTTAAAGCGGCAAGAATAGCAGTGGAGCAAAACAACAGCTTGTTAACGTCCAGCTTTCTGCAGAACGTCATCTTTATCAATCTGACACTTAGCGAGCAAGAGAAGATCCAAAGATTTGATACACTTGCTGAAATTTACAAGGAAATAGGTAATTTTTACAGATATCCTTACATATTACACTTTAGCACGTAATTGATGGTCGACAACCCCGAACACGACAACATTACAGGTTAGTAAAAAATGAGGTGATGCATTGGTGTCGTGTCGTGTTTTAATTTCATGCATAGCTGTTCAATAAATTACCAGATGACAAAAACTGCAATAACATGAAATTGCTTACAAGTAAACTTAGGAAATACGTACGCACAGTGTAATCTTTTTAATACATGGTACCTAATATGTATAAGTAAATAACCTTAGACTATATCGCTTCCAGCACTAGAGGTAGATGTGATAACATTTTCAAGTTATTATAATTACTTTGTATCTCATTATAAGTGAACCATTGTATGTTCTCATGAGAAATAAAATTCTTTAAACGGTACGCAGATGAGCGCTGCGAAAATGTGTAGCGAGCTCGTTTTAGATGAGAGCGGGGTGACGAGTGGTGGGAGCGGAGCGCGCGTGTCATCGCCCGCTGCTTCTTGTGTCCTTCCCTAGCACACATCCCTCGAACATTTGCTTCACACACATCCCCGCACACATGCCTGGTACACATCCCTCGCACACATGCCTGGTACACATACCTAGCAACACATGCCTCGCACACATCCCTCGCACACATGCCTGGTACACATACCTAGCAACACATGCCTCGCACACATCCCTCGCAACAATTGCTTCATACACATTCCTCGCACACATGCCTGGTACACATCCCTCGCACACATGCCTGGTACACATACCTAGCAACACATGCCTCGCACACATCCCTCGCACACATCCCTCGCACACATGCCTGGTACACATACCTAGCAACACATGCCTCGCACACATCCCTCGCAACAATTGATTCATACACATTCCTCGCACACATGCCTGGTACACATACCTCGCAACACATGCCCCGCACACATCCTTCGCAACCTTGCCTCACACACATCCCTCGCAACACATGCCTCACACACATCCCTCGCAGCACATGCCTCACACATATCCCTCGCAACACATGCCTCACACACATCCCCCGCAGCACATGCCTCACACACATGTGTTCCAGTGCTTGGGGCTGCGGGTTCGAATCCCGCACGGTACAAGTATTTGTATGGCCTACGAATAATTGTTCCGGGTCTGGATGTTTGTGCTTGTGCAATTTATGTTTGTAAACTGCCTCCACGATACAGGAGAAAATCCTAGTGTGGGGGTAACGTTTTTTTTTTAAAAAAAACATGCCTCGCACACTTCCCTCGCATCACATGCCTCGCACACATCCCTCGTAACACTTACCTCACACATCCCTAGCAACACATGCCTCACACACATCCCTCGCACATATACTTCCTTTGTTTTGTATATACAAAAACCTCTCTCCGCTGAGCTGTTTCCACCAGAGCTGCGCTGAGCGGGGCTAGGTAAATGAAGTGATTCTATTGGTTCTTAACAAACACATCCCTCGCTACGCATCCTCGCACATCTCTGGTGGAAACGCGGCCTAAGACACCCATACGAAATGTCACCATCCCATTAACTCCTTCGTCCGTCCTTTGTCTCTGTCTTGTTGTTAAAAACGATAACATTATCATTGTAAAAATGTTGTTGCTATTATATACGAGTGTTTTAATATCACGTACGATATTAAACGCAGGTTTTCTTCGCAAAGCCGCGTTCTACCAACGTCTAGCCGCCACGCGTCAAGTGAGCGCGAATAATCCGAACCCGGATTGGCACCGCTGCTACCACCTCATGCTGCACAGCTTCCCCGGACACAAGCTCAGCCTGGATCCCGGATATGTTGTACAGCACCAAGTCGGTAAGTTTTTACGCACATTGTGTAAAAGAGACAAAACTAAGCTTATTTGTTATAGCGTATATCGTCCGATCGGCAGATTAAATGGCCCAAAGTATACCAATGTAACAGTTAATTCGATTTAGGTTGGCCTGCCCTCCAAATCCAGCTACTTCAGGAATTGGTAGTAGCTGCGCGTCGAATGGGTCATCCTGCACTTGCAACACGTCATATGACGTTTCTGTTGCAAACCATGTGGCCACATCTATCCCGACAAGAGCATAGAGATCTAGCTATACAATTACAGGTGAGTATTTTCATACTTAGACAATTTTGAATGAAATAACTGAACAAATATTAAACATTTACTTATGAAACCATATAACTCCGTAACATCGCGTAAATGGACAAAAACAATTGTCTGCAAGATCTTGTACTTGTTTACAGTTCTTAGTTGACAGTCACCTCATCTAGTATATTTGTGTCCCCGTCTCAACAAATTGCAGTAAGTGGTCTATTAGCTTACACGTTATTTCAACAATAGTTTGTTATATAATTATAAATTAATTAACGTCGTAGCAATACCGATAACGCGTGCATTATACATTCTCACTTGCACTCTTACCACTTCCCTACTAACCTACTATCCTTTTTATTATAATAAGCAAAACAATATAATACTTTATGTAAATTTAATAAATGTTTTTACGCTGCTACGAGTCGCCGATCTGGAGATTTTATATCTGGTGTAATAACGAAATTATTAATAATGAAATTTACCACCATCTATCGGTTGCCAATAGATCTTCTGGGCCTTTATGACATCTCTTAAGACGCCAACGGAATGAGATGGCCTGATAATTTTTTTTGAAGTTGGTAATTGCTGTTTTAAGTGCTGATTTATCATGTGCACGGCGTCTGAGAGGCTGCGTGTCTGAGAAAAATAAGAAAAAATATTCGAAGACATGTGGTGTTCGTCAAGAGGTGGGACGTACATAGGATGTTACTTTAATTTTATTTTATGCCGCCATCACACGTATTGGTTCATCTTCTTCAGGCCTGTAAAAGTCCACTACTGAACGGTCACGCTTGGCAGACGAGTTGAAGATTGCAGTACCAGGCGTCGTAATATTTACTTTAAACATGCCGGTTATACCCACTATCTACCGGAAACCTCAAGACATTACCCTAAGCCGTCACTCCTCTCTACCAACTAAGTCGCTGTTTTTGGAAATGTGAAGAGTATACACAATAGTAGTATATATAATGAAATGAAAAGGAAAACTATCACAGCTAAGTAGAATTGAGAAGTTAACGAGTAATAGTCGACCAACAAGAAAAATTTCGTTACAACTCCATAGAAAATTACTTAAAAACTAGTTGCATTATAACTTTGGAATGTTATTGTAAACTGTTAAAAATATACATTTTATGGAGAAAACGACTTATATGCATTACTACTATTAGCTTTATTTTTTCATTTGTGGGATACATAGGGTATTATTATCAAATACGAAAAGTTTTTTTTTAACTTTTTTTCAATACCACTCCCTATAAGTCTGATTTGAAAATAAGTCCTTCAGTTACGATCTTCCTATTTGGACCCATTTTAATCATTATAGCGGTCAAATCGCGTACTCACTTATTATGCTCATTATCAAGAAAATTCATTACCAAGTCAAAAAAACTACGGAACCTCTACACTGTGCGTGGCCCGACACGCACTTGGCCAGTTTTTTATTTTTTACTGTTATTAGGAAGTCGCTGCTGTCCATCTCCTGATTGGTTTTCCTTTTGTCGCCTCTTACGACACCCACGGGACTATATTAGGGGGTAGTGATAACTTGTAGACCGCCACTGCACTTGATACTGATATAAAATATTTTGGATTCAAAAAGGCCGTATCGGCACAATGCGAGGGCGGGCCGGTGCCGCTGGTGCTGGAGACGGGCGAGGTGATCCCGCCGGCCAACCTGACGCACGTGCCGCACTGCACCGGCTTCAGCCCGCGCCCGCTGCCGCCGCCGCGAGCGCCGCACTCCGTCAAGTTCAAGGTCCAACAGGGACCATTCATATTCACACCAATACACTTCGGCAGCCTCGAAAGGAAATCGAAGAAAGAAGAAGGGAAATTGGGTACGTATACACGTTTCAATGTGATGTGGCAGTGCTGTTTTTTGAGATCTTATAATATGTCTAGTATTTGAAAGTGTGTGCGTGTGCATGTGCGAGCGCTAGTGCGTGCGCGTGCGCGAGCGTGCGTGCGTGCTTGCGTGCATGCTTACGTTGATAAGTTAAAAATTATATTGTCTCAAAAGCAATATGTAATAAAAAAATATGCTTCTTAATATATTTTTGGTATGTTGATGAAATTTTATAAATGGAATGGAAATGGAACATAACATATTGAAGAACTCAATGTTGAGCTTCATCAAGATCATTATACTAAAGACAGTTTAATGCACAGCATACTCGATTAAGGTATTGATTCGTTTGTGCTGGTAATTTTTCCAATTGGTGATTATGCCCTGACATCCTTTGTGACACTCCCGAAATGGGATGTAGTGAGTTCTTTAAACATATGAGCAGCATCATTTGATCAACACGGCCATTTCAAGCTTTAATTAAAAAATTATCCCAATTTTCTATTTTTATACTCTCTTTTTCAGAATATCTTTGGGTGGAAGATGACATATGCGAAGTGCAAATGAAACTCACTAACCCGTTGCCTTTTGAACTAAAAGTATCGAACATGCGACTTCTCACATCAGGTGTGGTATTTGAATCCATACCGGAAACCATAATTCTACCACCAGACTCCCCGACAACAGTCAACCTCCATGGAACACCTAAAGAAGTTGGCGAGTTGCAAATATTAGGCTATTCCACTCACACGCTAGGCGTCAAGTCGAATTGTCGATTAAAGCACATCCCTATGAGGAACAAATTTCCGACTTCCTACACAATTGAAGTTATACCAAGTCTACCGACCGTAACTATTGAAACAACGGTCGCCCTGTCCGGACATTTGAATGTGTCGAACGCGGAAGGTCATAGCAACGCCACCAACGTTACCTTGTATAATGGGGAGAGCACCGAATGCACAATAAAAATTATTAACACGAGCGCCGTGCCTATTGAATTCCTGGACTTATCTATTCAGGTTTGTTATTTTTATTGTAATTCCCTCACGCGCAAGAAAATAATTGCTATTCGCATTAATGCAGATTTGCTATTAAATTATATCAAGCTTTAACTAAAATTTTTATAAAGGTGATAATAGTGATTTTGTAATTTAGTATTGGCGGAGAAGTAACTGTGTTTAATAATAATATAAAGAATTTAATAAATACATAACGTTCAAAACATTTGGATTTTGAATGTGTCTATAGACATAGATATCTTTATAATATTAAACAACTAATTTTGATAAACGATTATAACGTTATAATATAAGGGAACAATGCATGGAATTTTATTTTCAGTGGTGGACTTGTACAACATATTATTATCATTGGAGGATAATAATATGTTCATAGTTTTAAACTTATTTCTCAGACTAGGTAGGTAGTTACACAAAAAAGTCATTTTATCACACACAAAAAATCAGAGAAAATATCAAAAAGGCAAGGGCAATTTCAACGAAAGAAAATTCTATCAAAAAGTCCCTTGCTGAATATAGGCCTTCCCCATAAACCTTATAAGTTGTTGGTCACTAAGGAGGTCATTCTGTTCTAGGTCTGCCATTAAGCGGTCAATATAAGTTCCACAATATTGCAGAGTACGGAGGTTATTTAGATTGACCGATAATTGGCAGGGTCGGCACGGCTGGCTTTTTTTGGAACAGGCTACACGTTGGCCAGTTTCCGGGATAATGGCGCTATTCCAGTCCTATAAACCTTATAAGGGTGTGATTTTGCCATATTTGCCACGCTTGGCAACCGCAGCGTTTTATAATTTTGATTTTCATTATATACCTCATCAGGAAGATGTTGCCGGCCATCTCTTGTTCCAGTTTCCTTCTGTCGCCTCTTACACCGCCACTACACGCTTGCTACATTAAATCTGTACATAACAAATACTAAAAATCGAATTTACTTTCCAGTCAAACATGGACAACCAGCTCCAATCCAAAGTATTTCAATGGTCCAACGAGGATGTACAATCTCAGCTACCAATACGACCGAACACTGTAGCCACAATTATGTTAAAGTTGTACGGAGAAGCTGATTTTCTAGACCTCGGTGGTGTTGGAGAGAATTTATTCCCAAACAGTCTTACGTCAAACTATCCGTCCAGAGTTGGGTCCCCGGTACCTAACGCTCAGTTGTCACTACCTACCCAAAGTTCTAATCCACACACTTCATTATCCAGTGGACTCATGGTTAACAGAACTTCTGGAAGTTTCAGGTATAGAATTTAAAATTTACGAATAGTCCCTTAAATATTTTTAAAGTATTTATATTTATAAATTAAGTTTTTAATTAAATACGCATAGGTGCGTTTATAAAAATTGGTACTCACAGTTTTTATGCTCCCAAGGTGTATTAAAGAGTGTGAGTATTTCTGAACCGAAGTTTGAAGAAAATTGCTAGGTATAAAAGATCTTTGTTAACAACCACTTCATATAAGAGATGGTTATTCAATTTGACTCATTGTTTTTTTTTTGCTTTTTTTGTATGTATGTTACGAGATATTTTCGTCAATTCACTATCTATACTTAATATAATAAATCGGAAGAGTTTTTTCTTTTTTTAATTTGTTTAAACACGCTAATCTCCGGAACTATCAGTCCAATTTGATAAATTATTTTTGTATATTATAATAGTATAGGATATCTCGCATTAGGTCACAACTCCTTAGTCTTAAATATTGATTTTTGTTAAACAAGTCAGAAGAAAAAGCGCTTTTGAAATGATATATCCGCGTGTGCTGGCGTAATGGTTAGTGATACGTAAATACAACATTCTACAGAAATATAGATCTTTACTCCATCTAAAAAAGTCTGCGATACCATATACCAATTTCTTATACATAAGCGACAATAAGGTATTTATGACAAAAAATATTGTAAAATTACAAAATGATTTAGGAGATTTATTATTAGGCTTTGCATATTAATCCTTACGAACAGAAGTTACTTCATCATCAAGACTTTTTTAAATGAAGATAAACTTTGCTCATGTAGCATGTTATTTGGGCGCATAGTTTAAAAGATAATGTAAAATTTAAATTATTCAAAACTTGACTTGGCGCGCGAACTACGCATAAACCCTAGCCGCCCGATGAGAACCGAGAGAAATCAGCACTGAATGCTTCTATGAGCTACGTTAGTTTAATCATTTGAGCTAAAAAATTGTCAAAATTAATGGAGTCCTTTCATATTATATTTACGTCATAGAGCAAAGTTACATTTTATCCACTCCCGAGTGGGCGTCACCCCGCGTGCCCAAAAAGTGTCCAGTATCGCGTTTTTTTTTCAGATTTAAAGAAATTTGTACACGATACATAAAAAGTGTGTAGGTACGAAATGATCCTTGATAAATTAGCTATCAACCTCTTATATTTATACTTAATATAATCAATTAAATTTTCAAAATAACATAGCAACGTGGAATGAATGAGTTTAGAAATAAATTATACCTCTTTGAAAAGAATATATTCTATTCTTTACTTTAATTATACATAGCTTGGCGGTAAAGCGCGATATTTTTGAGAAAACTAAACTTTGACCAAAAAAATAGATAAATGATAAAAAATGTACATATTTCGTGGCAGATTCCGCGGAAACTATAAGTGATATCGCTTTTGTATGTATAAGAGGTTTATAGCAAAATTATCAAGAATCATTTCGTACCTATACACTTTTCATGTATCGTATACAGTTTTCTTTAAAACTGGAGAAAATGCAATGAGATGCAACATCACACTCTGGCGTTGACCATTCAGGCCTCTATATAAATTTCAGCAAAAAAAAAACCTAAGGGTAGACAAAATGTAGTGAAGTTGTGTAACTATTTAGACGCGATTCATTTGTGATATTCCTTACTCCACTCAAAAGGTTCAAAAAATTAAACTTATAATAACTTTGAACTTTTAACTTTGAAGTCGGGTCGTAAAAGACCCGACTTCAAAGTCTGATGTCTAGTCTTTAATTATATACACTATGTTTTGGCACCGACTTCTAAAGCTATTATGTGAAAAAAAGTTTTACTCTTTTTAGTTGTTTAAAGTCGGCTTTTGCTTTTTATTTTAAAGTTTTTATACTTACCTATACTTTGTTTTAGGTCATCCAATTCTCAGACAACAAGTTGGTCAGCTCCTATATCTGTAATGCCGCCGTCCAGAGGACGTCAAATTGAAGCTCAGGTATAAGCAATGCCCCGTTAGTTACCAAATAATACGAAAAAGTATAGGACGCAATTCATTAAACGGAATTTATAATTAATTTTAAAATTTCCTAACTAATCAATGCATCTTTCAAGCTGTAAAATGTGCATGTCTTTGCGTTATTATTAAAAAACCAAAACATTATTTGAACTGCCGCTAATTCACTTGTGCTACTTAACTTGACCGTATGCTTATTTGACAGTGTAATAATAATTAATATTCCTAGATACAGTACGCAATATTAAAACAGCTAAAATCTACTCCTGACTGATTTTGAAATGCTGTAAAATGTGGATGTCTTTGCGTTTTAATCGAAAATTCATCTAATTAGGAAAGCCATTATTTGAACTGCTGCGAGTACTTTTTTTTCTGTGCTACTCAATTTCCGAATAAACATGACAACAATTTCCAATTAACCCACTTTACATTACAAAATAGAAAGAATATTTTAGTGACATAAGTAACATATACGCAAACACAGAGGTACCCACTTGTTTTAACCTACTCTTGTGAAAAACCCTTAAGTAGTAGGAATTTAATTAGACTAAGATACAACATCAGACATGGCGACAATGTCGACCTTAATCCCAACGTTTTGTTGTTAGTACAAAACAAATGTTGATTTTTATTTAACTCGTTCGTCCTGCTAGAGAGAGATCCGGCAGAAGTAGATAGCACACTAAGGTCACTTGACTCAGAAAGTGCTTCAGGGTGGGATTGCATGCTTGTGGGTTTCCTTGAATTATCTCGAGAACTTGTTGTTCTTCTTATTAGCCAGTTGACTAATACGTGTTTCGAAACTGTCATATTTCCTGAAGCGCTAAAACGTTCTATAATTACGCCCGTGCACAAAGATGGGGAAAAGAGTGATGTTAACAATTATCCGCCGATATCTGTCTTACCTTCCCTTTCAAAGATAATAGAGAAAATGTAAAATAAAAGACAAGGAAGTTATTTAAATAAATACAACATTATTTCTGATTCACAATACGGTTTTAGACAGGGACGGTCAACTCAGGATGCGGTCGTTGCGTAAACATCTGAAAGTTAACGCTGATAAGGTAGACAATGGTTATAAATGCGTTGCGGTGTTTCTAGACATGAAAATTATTTTTGACACCGTATCTGTCCCCATCCTTATGCAGAGACTTTAAACTATAGGAGTGAGAGGTAAGGCTATCTCCCTTTTTGATAGCTACCTCCGAGGTAGGAGACAGCAAGTTAAAATAGATAACTTGCTTAGTGAGGAGGAAAGTAATGTTTACGGTGTCGCACGGGGCTCGGTTCTCGGCCCACCACTGTTTCTAGTGTATATTAATGAATTATGCAACCTACGAGGCGGTGGTGGGTATACCTTCTCCTACGCGGACGACACGGCCATCGTTTACATAGGGGGCACGCGGGAAGCGTGTGCAATAATGCCGACCAAGGATTAGTTTTTATAGATAGATAGATGGCTCAAAGCCAATCTGCTAACCCTTAATGTTATTAAAACGAACTACATTTGTTTTTCTCCTAGTAGAAGGTCTAAACCAGGCCTTAATTTTAAAATTAGAATCCACACGTGTGCTTAATCCACTTGGCTTAAAATTGTAATTGCCAGGTCCTTAAACATATGACGTCCACAAGATACATGGAAATTATAGTTGACGAGTGTTTAACTTAACATTCACATATTTAGATTGTTACGTCACGGGTGTGAAAATTTATATAGATTTTTAAAAATCTATGATATGTGATGCCTCAGAAGACTCAATGGTGGTTGTACCGGCATCTATCGGATGCAATAAGGCCCCCGGCGCACTAGGCAGCCTGGCTGCTAGTGCGCGGGGGTCTATGATTTTTCTGGCATTTCCCATAGTCACCTCTTACGACAACCATGGGACTAAATGGGGTGAGCGATTATCATAAATTGCTACTACGTAGCCCGTTACCGTTAACGTTACAGCCTATTAAAGTACACTGCTGAACATAGGCCTACCCCATAGATTGCCTCATAGGAGACATATTTGCCATAATTGCCACACTTGGCAAGCGGGTTGGAAACCGCAGTTTTTTTTTTAATCATTATTAGGAAGACACTGCTGCCCATCTCCCGATTTATTTTCCTCTAGCGCCTCTTATGACGCCCACGGGATGATATGGGGTAGTGGATATTCTCACAACGCCACTACACGATAACACTACATGACAATCATAGATAAGACCTAACATGTTAAATTAAGTAACATACGAGTTTAATTTCCAGATAGTTATCAGATACTCCGGCGGTATAGGTAAAGAGATGCATTGTCGTCAATCAACACTACAATTTAATTTGGAACTACTCCCCAGTGTTTCCATAACGCATTGGGACGTTCTGCCCGCGGAAATGTGAGTGCGTCTTAGTCTAATGACATTAAAAATTTAATTTAATACCTTTTGTATTTAATGAGCGACATTTACATATATTTTATTGACAACTTCACCAGAGTGCCAACAAAAATCATCGCATCGCGAATAGCTATCATACATTTCTATATTTCACGACGTTGCCGACAAAATGGTCGTGGCGTCTCGATGTGATATTTTTATTGCGTGCTCGGATAACCTAGTAGGCAAGAAATAATTATTAGACACCTAAAAATTTTACGTTTTTTTAATATTAATTGAAGTGATTGAATGCAAGAACCACTTAAAAAATTGACAAAATAATTAATTTAATTTAAAAGTTTTCATGGTACGTCTTAGTTTACATTGATAGAAATCCATTTAGAGAAGTCATAAAGTAACGATGTAGTTCATAACATCGAGTTAACTTTAAAAAATTTGATTCACCTAACACGGTAACACCTACTTGATAGTAAAAATTGAAACGAATATTATGATTGAAATGTTTTTATTCATATCTTCATAAACAAGATTTTGGGTAAACTTTACAGACCCACTCAACTATACCTAGTGTTAGATGTGACAAACCTCACGTCGGAGGAAATGGACTTCCATTATGCACCATGCAAGCACATTCTCATTGAGAGTAAAGAATCATGCAGGGTGCCGGTGCCTCTTGATCGATGTCCGTTCAATGTAACACCGACTAAAGTTAATGATGAAGGTATAGTATTTTAATAAAAACTCTATTTCTCACAATACAACAACATACATATTTACTTATTTAGCTCTGACACCACAGAATACTTAATGCAACAAAGTACGCATGTGACTCTAATAGATTATCTACAGTGATTTTTGTGTATGATGACTGCCACAAAATTGGAAATTAAAGGTTTTTATTGTGTAATTTTACATAAATTTTATAGAACATTCTTTGATTACCTACGGTATGGTTATGTGGGTCTATTTTTTTTTAAATATAAAAGATAGGGTAACTATGAAATTTTTATTTTTATAAGGAAAGATAAAGAGTGCCATTTAATTTTTACGTTATTTCAATGATATCGATGTAATAAAACTGCGGTTTTACTGTCCACAGAGACTGTAGAATCTAAATCAACAAGCACAGGAGCGTCAACAAGCAGCCTAGAGTTAATGTGCTCAGAGCACATAACAAGCAATGTTGCTCTACGTTGGCACCTCTTGCAGTCAGACTTAAGCGGTGTTGCATCTGTGAAAGGCATCACACTGTCACACGCTATGATGGATATTGTCAGGATGTCGCCTTTGAATTGGGGTAACAATTTTTGTTATATTTATATACACTTAAGAAGTATCCTTTTAATTATCGAGAAAGGCTCTTACGACCGATTAATAGCGCGATATTCTTATGAAAATCCCGATAGACTAAAATGCCTTAATAATAATAATATATAATCCGCCGGTTTCTTTCCTTTTCCCCCTAACCCTCTGCCGTTTGGTCTCCCCTGCCGAGGGCTTCCATCTGGTTGGGCTTTTATTTATTTATGTTAGTATATTTCATATATATATTTATGTATGTTTATCATTTCCTCTTATATATTTATTCAGCCCAACCAGATGAGAATACTTTATAATAATAATGCATCACATTGAAAAAACCAATGCGGGTTAAATGGATCGTCGCTCGTTTTTGCCGACCGAGCGACCCTTACGAATGTGTGCGTGCGTAGTAAAATAGTAGGTGTTAAATATTCATTAATGATCATCAGTTCAAATAATGCATTACCAAGCATTTTTAATTTAAAACATAAAAAGGACAGAATAATGATTTCTTATATTTACGCGAACACTACACATTGAATAAAACTGCTAAAAATTAAACGCGATAGAATCCGTAAAAGATTCTATCGCGTTTAATTAATTGCTTTTCAGAGTGCTTGAGATTTTTTTTATTATAATATTTTGTTCGCCGTTTGCCTATATTACTTAGTCTGAGCCTTCTCTGCAAAATTTGGCCGGTTATTGCAAAATAACTCGGTATACATCTCGCTACTGGGCACAGGCCTACTCTCATTTCTGAGATAGGTAGATTGTATTAAAATATGAAGAAGAAAAAACACGTGTGCAGTTCACACGCGGTAGAAGTGAAACCTTCAAAAGAAATGTTAAATAAAAATATTTCACGGCAAATGATTTAATATGGTAATTTTCAACCACAAGTGCGGCATAGAATATGAGACAAAAGTTTAATTTTATTGCAAATAAATGTTACAATCCTTATTTTTAGACTTAATTTTGGTGTAAAAAATCAAAAGTATATTTTCTTTCTAATAAAATTGCTTTGTGATAGCGCCATCTACTTCATTCTATAGGCAAAGTCATTTTATCGAACAAAATTTGATTCATCTCCTTAAAGCACCGCACAAAGAGGAGACCTAAATAATAGGAAACACTTCTCCTTCCACCACAGAATAATAAAACAACTTCGGTTGATAACCTGCCTGTAAAACTTGGCAAATTTGGCACATACTTCCCATTATAGATAATCTATGGGGAAGACCTATGTTCAGCAGTGGACTTTGATAGGTTGTAATGTAATGTTATGATATTTACCTTTAATATTATTATTCCAGAGGTGAGCGTAAACAAGCAATGTATCAAACCGCAAGAGGAGTTGAACTGCACCGCTGGTGAAAGTCTGTCATTGGGCGTGGCTGTACAGAACCATCTCAGCCGACCTCTGCACAAGTTGTGCCTTTCTGTACAGTTCTACCAGGACTACAACAATGGAGTTCTGAGCTACAAGTTGGACAATCGCATTGCGACCGCAGGGAATAATAAGTAAGTTATTTACTCACTATAAGCTTGCTGTTCTTTAACGAGTCTGTTACAACTATGTAACATTTGTTGTTTTTGATTTACTTTGTTTAAAGTGTTTTCTTTAAAGTCTAAACTGATACTATTTTACGCATTACGGGGGGCACAGAATAACGGCGTAAAATAACAACATATTGCTGCTGTGTGTTTGTGGCGAGCAACGAGAATTGGAGACCCTTTTTACTAATAATGAGGCAATTACATCTTACAGTTAGTTCCTAGGGGTGACAACGCACCTGCATTTTGATTCTTAATCGAGGATAGATCCATGGGCCACCCACACAGCGTCCACTTAAGAAAGTTATTTGTGTGCTCATTTGTCACCTGTACTCCTATAAAAATGCATGTCAGAATAACGGGAACAGTCGTAACACGATCAGAGCCCAAAACCAACAATTCGAAATTTTACCGGATGGTACTTATTGCTTAACTTTAATCTTGTCGCGTCGTATATTATTCATACCACGGGTTACCTTGCATTTCCTGTTGTCGATTTTTACGAAAACTACGACAAGAATCGAGATGGAAATAATCCTTAAATTAGACTCTAGAGCCATGGTAACTCAGGGGCTAAGCTCTTGGGGTAAATATCAAAGCACGCGAGCAACCCGGATTCGGCACCAATAAATTGTTAATTTCAATATTAAGTTCTGATTTACTGCATGAATAAGATAGACTTGTATCCACATGAAAACTTTTTCCTTATAAATACTTTAAATACACAAATCATCTAGACTGTTGTTAATAACATTTGATTTCTATTTTCAGGGTAGTTTTGTCAACCCTAATGGAATCTGCCAAGGCATATCACGAATGCACTGTCGTTTTTTTGACTCCTGGTGAATACAAAATTGATATACAATGTTCTACCACTGAACCTATTTTAGAGGAAACAGCCATTATAAAAGAGGCGGACAGTCAGTCCTTACTACAGCCATGCGCGGGAGAAGTCAGTCATATTTGGAGATTTATTCCACCTGTAGCAATAAGTGTCACAGATTAAAAAAATAATTTTAATGTATTTATTATTATATATTATAATTAATAAAAATCTAAAATTTAATCAAACAAGTTTTACGGATTTTTACGTTTAATTTTACTTATTTTTAATTTCCGTCGTTTCTGGTGTCGAAATGGACGACTCTGGTGGACTCAGACCTAACACCTATGGATAGTAAAGTTGTTATGACGTCCTACAGGATTGATCATTCGAGATCATGGCAGTCGTGGCTTTCTAAGCGTTCTCACCATGGATAAACGCGAAGTGTACAGCCTCCGTAATCACTTCTTGACGAGATCGGGTGACCCATTCTACACGGACTTCACAACGTGTGATAAACGATTTGGCCCTTTATACTTAGCCAATGAGGAATTGCAGGACACGCCAGTACAGAGCATTTGTGACCGGGAGGCCATGTTTTTTTAATATAGAATATGGGTGACAAACGAGCTCACAGTCCACTTGATGATGGCTGCCTCGTTGCTCTAGTGGTTGTAGTAGTGCGACTGCTGATCATGAGGTCCCGGGTTCGAATCCCGGTTCGGGCCAAAAAATCAGTTATTGAGTTTTTCTATCAAGAAATTCTCCGTAGCTGCCCGAAGTCAGGAAGTTGGCGGTGTCTCACCACCATGCCTCGGAAAGCACGTTAAGCCGTTGGTCCTGCGCCTGATCTCTCTTCGGTCGTGTCGGTTTACCGTCCCATCGGACTATGAGAGTGAGGGAATAGAGAGTGCACTTGTGCTTGCGCATACACTTGGGCACTATAATCCTGTCCTGTGCAGATGGCTAGTCTCCGTTGAAACTGGCCGCCGTGACCGAAATTCGGTCTGGAGGACATTACCACTTGATGGTAAGTAGATACTGTGGCCCTTAGACATCTACATTTATCAAATAAGGTTCAAGATCTCTTCGCTTCGATTTATAAAGAACATAATACTCTGTAATCTCAAATACATATAAAAGTATTATCGGGATTCTGGGGCGAGAATTTGAACTGAAAGGGTGCGATTTTTTTCAAATTCAAATTATTTTTGTAAAACTATAAATCGCATTTTTCTTAGTTTAAATATTATGAATACAGTATAATAAGGAGTTTTGTGAATAATAACCATGTTCAAAACTGAGGCCGGGGGTGATATCCCCCGGGCAGCAAAGGCCTGGGTCTCTTAGGGAAACGTGCTAGAAGAATGGACTCCTAGGATGCAGGTGACGTATACAGCGGCGGGAGTGACGACTTTTTACTTTTTTTTGGAACCAAATTATAAAAGATATATATCCTGAAAACTCTACTAACAGTGACTATAAAGTTTTTGTTGAATGCTCCAATAACGAAAGGCTGGGCAATAAGAGTCCAATACAGGGTAATTGGAAGATACCGGTGCAAAGGGGAAGGCAGTCTACACTATTTAGAACCATTTAGGCCATAGTCATGTTCGACGAAGTCCGACTATTTTTTTACGATTTTTTTTGTTTTTTGTGATAAAAGTTTGGTTTTATTGATAAATGCTTTTTTTAATTAAAGTAATGTGTAAGCAATCTAAGAAAACATATTCTAAGCATCTGTGTCGTCAGACATTTTTGTGCATACACTTAAGTTCACGAGAATTTTTCAAAGATTTAAAGAACAATGTTCTTGACGCTAAGTTAAAAAATAGAATGGTGCTTTTTTGTTCAAACGTTTTGAAACATGCTAGGTTATTATTACTCTTTCATTTGATATATCACTTACGCGAATATGTTACAAATTATTAAAATTGGGACCTAAAAACCACTTTGAGGAAGAAAATTTAAATTTTTAGGCAGACTAATAAAACTACAATAAACATACTTTTTGTGTTCGAATTGATATCTGAGTTACTTAATTCTAAGAATTACTGCACGTGCTAGAACCAAATTGACAGTATTCTCCGTGCACGTTGTGACGGCCATAAAGCATCTTTCCAAGTAGCATGCCCAATGAATAGAGAATAGGGATACATTGGTTTATTTTAGAGCAAAGTCGGCTAAGTTACTAAAGCATCAAGGTCGTGTTTCTTTAGTCAGGGTCTGTAACTATGAAGGAACTCGTCATTGTCACATCTTATTTTGATTTAGTCAAGTAACAAGTGCCCTTGTGACTTGACGTTGTTTTCGTATTTGCGCTGATTCGCGATTAACCGTGTCCAGTTGTAGTCCTTAGCGCTCCTGTGTGTGTTGATATATTTATTTACTCTTTATTGTACACCAAAAACGAGTACAGTTAAATCTAAAGTAAAATATGTACAACAGGTGGTCTTATCAATCTGAAAGTGATCTCTTCCAGACAACCTTAGTGTAGAGAACTGATACAAACAATAATTAAAAATAGAGGTGCGTACAAAATAAAAATATGAAAATACATATAAATAAAGATAAGTGAAGATTATGTATGATATCATATAATAGATTAAATGAAAAGAATACGAACAAGGAAAAGTAATTTATCTAATAGCGTTCTATGTAATACGATTTAACAAGACTTGAAAGTATGAAGAGATTCAGCACGACGAATGTGAAGAGGTAAAGAGTTCCACAAACGTACAGCAATTACAGTAAAGGATTTTTTAAAAAAAGGTGCGAATGAGTAGAGAGAGAAAGATTGACAGAGGATCGAAGGAACCGATAATGAAAACGGTCTTTTAAATATTGAGGGGTGGAAGGATTAAACAGCACGCCATACAAAGTGGAGAGAGTGTGAGTATTTGAGCTGTTTGTGTAATTCAGAGATATAATCATAATTGCGAAGCCCAAATATAAATCTAATAAATAAATTTTGAATGCGCTCAAGCTTATTAAGTTGCTCCTCGGTAATGTCAAGATAGCAAATATCAGCATAATCAAGGATAGGCAGAAGTAAAGACTGGGCGAGAGTATCTTTAGTTACTGAGGGAAGAAAATTACGTAATCTACGTAAAGAGCTTAAAGCAGCAAACATTTTTCTATTAACCTCATTAACTGGTGAGGTCCAAGACATACAAGAGTCGAGATACAACCCCAGGTTTTTAACCTTGTTACTGTAAGGGCAGAACAGATGGCAATGGTTCTTTGGCGCTACGAATTTATCAAAAGCGCTATCCAAATCGCAGGTTAATGACATATGTGTAATAAATACTACTATCATTTCATCATTCATGGACTAGGTGGAACAGGTATTTGGATCAAGTACGGAATTGGGCTAAGTGCACCTAGTACATAAATTACCCAAAAAACATCGGTCAAATATGACCTGACCAAAATATGAAACGACCACCAATGATAGATACGTCAAAAAATAGTGACTTAGGTGTATATTAAATTACGGGGTTCAACTTATTTTATTGGATCTGGTAAAATAATTTACCTTTGTAATGAAAATCCTTATTTTCTTAGTACTTCTTATAGGTTTTGAAGGTATCTAAACCCGTTCCGTTTTAATTTGTGTTACACGTTTCATCATAACACTTAAGTAACACTACCATTATGAGTTTACTTTTTTTAAATACTAGATGTTATTGTAGATTTCTTATTTATTTTTATATAATATCATTTTTAGATGGAAAATATTCAGAAATAAGTTGCAAATGATAAGTTGACAGTAAATATAGAATGCACAAATACACGGAACGTATTATGAGTGTCTCTATGCAGTCTGTGGTATTATGGCAGGAGAGCTGTCAAAGCGTGAAAATTAAATGCACCTGTGTCTTAGATTTTTAGCAGTGAAAAGATTAGAAAGGTTATTGATTCATTTTTGTGGTTTTAGCCATTGACTTATTTAGTTAAGTATATATTACTGCATAGTTTTCATATCAATTGTTTTAGCTGAGGTTGTAGTTATGACTGCAGTCATGACTACATCGTAACCGCAAAAGTGACGAAATACATAAGTGTAACGTTCTATGATCCTCGGCTTTTAAATAATATACTTTCAATTTAGGATTTTAATTGTGCCCTGGGGGAACGGATTAATCCATACACTAGTCATGTTCGCGATATTTTGTAGCCAGGTCACAGCATGTATGGACCGTGGCCGATGTTCTTTACCTAGTACGACTCATCTCTAGTACGTTTAAACAACGCCGCGGGTAATAGGAATATTGGAGTAATGCGATAAATTGAATACAAAGTAGTACTGCCAACTTTACTGATTCATATTTAAATAATATTTTTAATAACCCAAAAATTTATATAAAAATAAACACATCATATAACTAACAATTGACCACTTAACGCACTTAACATTAACACCAGACTTGGACTTTCTTCACAATAAATGTTCAGTAGCTAAATAAAAACAAATTTCTGTCCTTTTTTGTTTTATTGGGGAGGGCAACTAATCTCCTATTCCTTAAGCTATTGTATTAATGAAATTGTACATGAAGTGTTAGCTTTATACAGGATTATTAATAGATACTAATACCGTATGTGTAATAAATACTACTAGTGAGTTAACTCGGCGACTAGACGGAGCAACGATGGGGTGCGCGGTATGCAGGAGAGCGGAAGCTTCAAAGTCCTTTAAGAATCATTCGATTTAAAAAAAAAGAAACGTGTGAGTGTACTTGGTATGTACACTAATCCTATTAGATACACTGGAAATGCTTCTGACCTATACAAGTATTTAGTCTAGTATATACTTAGTCAGGACATAAGTTCTGTCAAATTTTTTTTATGAATTTTATGATACACTTTGATAATTATATACAAATTATATATGAAATGTAAGGTAATTTAATTTAGAATGAAATTTTATTTACATTATTCAAAATGCCCTCCCCTATTTTGAATACATGCCACGTGGCCAATCATCAATTGTAGCACGCATCACATTCATATCTATTTCTGCCGCTACTTTAGCCAAAGATGCTCGGAGTGATTCCAAATTCTGATGAGGTTTAGCGCAGACTTTCTCCTTCAAACGTTGCCATATCTTGTAATCTAATGGGTTTAAATCTGGGCTAGAAGAGGGCCAGTCTTCATGTCCGATAAAGTCAATTCCACGGGCG